GTCCCAATAAATTAATTAGGAGTCACTTCCTTCAGAATCGATCTCAATTTTATTAATAATAAATAAAATATAAATCTCGTTTTCGGCATTCTGCCATTATTTAACTTTTTCTAAAATTTGAAGTGAATGTTAATAAATAGTGTTATTGTTATAAATTTGGTCCAATTAATGGTGTTTATCCTTATCCCCCCCTCTCTACAATCTATTGTTGATGTAAATAACAATGGAATTTCTGAGCTGGTTTTAGTTTTTCCTAATTAGAATTATAAAATTTACTTGTCGGGTTATTTAACTATTTTTTTTGGTTTAGTTATTTTTCATAAATTAACTTGGCATCTTTGCAAAATGGATAATTAAAAAGTGTAGATAACGTTGATTGTCTTGAAAATAAAATAATAAATAATTTAAATATAAAATAAAAATCAATAATAAATTAAATTTAACGTTATAATATATAGAATTATAAGTGACAAATTTGAAAATTATTAAAAAAAATCATTTGCAAAACTTATACTTAGTACGAAAGTATATATGACTATACTAAAGAAACTGATTAAACGAGCCTGTAAAATTAAGACTACCTCAACTTTCATTATAACGGCCTCCAACAGCTTTATGAATGACTCGTAAAGATTAATTGAAACAATAAATATTAATGTCACGGTCTTAATTTTGTGGTTTATTTAAATCAGTATTGTAAGATGTTTTCACTCATATCATAAAAATGCAAAATATTAAATAATTTTATAAATCAGTTGAAGATAAACTTGTGTATGATAATATATAGTAAATAAAATAAAATAAAAATTTTAAAACTTAAAACGTGTTGTACAACTATGAACTCCATCCTGAAGCTATACTTAACTATAGAGTATAGGAAGAAGTCTAAAATCAAAGTTTTTTCGTATTTAAATCGTATAATGTTGTTTGTATATATTATTAAAAAAGTTATTTAATTATTGGATAAAACAAAATCATTTTGTTTATTTCAGTAGCCTATAAGTAAAAGTTACAATCATATTTCGTTATAAGAAATAAATATTTTTTTTATAGTTATCTTCTGATATTTACAATGTTGCGAATAAAAGATTCAAAAGTCACTTATAAATTCCATAAATATACACAAAATATCAATTATGGATTTAAGAATAACTAATTTTGTCTTTATATTGATATCACCTTGTTCTGGGATGTAAATTATATTATATGTGATTCAAGATTAATAATTTATTACTCAAATGTGATTAAAAATATTAGTTAATTAAAGCACGCGATACCTTATTATCATACTGACGAATTGTATTTTAAGTATATATGTCTCACAAATCGAGTGAATTATCAACATTCATTAAGCCATCATATACAATGTTGTGAATATTAATTGATTATTTAATACATTGTGTTTACACAAAGAAATATTTTTCTTAGGAAATAAATTTTGTTTAAATTAAAGAAAAATTTGTTACTATATTTACAAATTAATAAAATTATAGTATTTTGAGTTCAGGTTTCTTCTGTACTGTAGAACAAAAGTGGCCAATTAAAAATTTCATTGAATTTGTTGAAACCTTGCTTATCTAAAATTTCTAGGTTAAAGCCAATATATTTCAATTAATCAATCAATCAATCAATTTTTTAATTGCTTATCTAAAGGTTTTTGGAGTCGCTGATAACGAAGTGGAGGTTAGATTTACAAAATTCAAAATGTCGGATCCATGATGATAGACATAATTTTTAAATTTATACAAAATTTCATGAAACGAAGTATTTAAGGGTTTTTGCGGTCGCTGAATTTAAATCTGATTTCAATAGATTAGATTGATAGATTCTCAAACGAATAATTTGCGACAACTCCTATTTTCTTTCTTTTCTACGATTTTTTTATTTTTTTGTCTTGTTTTTATTTTGTTTTCTTTGTTCTTCTTCAACTAACAAGAATTGGTTTAATTTAAATACACGATAACCAGATTCATCTATTTATGTTTCATTTTTAGTTTGATATTCTATCTAAATATACCTTTTTTTCCACTTAATAGTTATTATAAATACATTTTTTAAGTTTTGTATTAGTTTTACAATTGTTATAATAGTTGTAAGTACAATTGTAGCGCCCTTTGATGGTCTTTGACTGTGGGCTAAGTTTTTTTGCAAATAAAAAAAAAAAAAAAATTAAGAAATTCAAAATGGCGGACATTTCATAAATTCAACAGAATATTAATAATCTTAATGCTTAATGATTTTAATGTATATATTAAAATAAAGTTCTGAAGTATGTTCTTAACGCCAACTGGTGGTGAAAATTTCTAATAAGTAGGTATATTGTTGTATTGAATATAATTTGTCGTGATCGAAAATGTCATTTTTTAAATGAAAATAAAGGATAAAAATATGTGTTGCGTACACGGAGAGAAATCTGCTGCGATTTTTGCTTGGATGAGTAAATTACTTTAATTACATGACACGACACTTGCATTTTTAGCATAAATTCAAGTATTTATTGTAAAAATAGTTTCTAAGCAAAAAACACAAGTCATGGGTGTTAATTTTGCATGAATTTTACATAAAAACTACAAACGGAACATGCCATAAAAGTATTAGATCCTTTCTTATAAAATTTGCAAGAATGCCATCTGATTTTCAGGTGGAATTTATACAACACAATCTTACCTCCGTATACACACAGCATTTCACACACACAATCATTGTATGCTGTTGATTCCGAGGAACGGAACGCACAATGCGCACGCTCGTGTTTTACCATGCGTTTTTAAACGCGAAATTTAAAATAATTTTACTTAAAAATTTTTTTAAAATAAATTCTTAAAGTTATACATAATACTGTTATTTTATAAACTTTAGATGACGAAAATAAACGAGCACATTTTTTTATCACTTGAACGTTGAATATAAGGAACGCGAACTCCGTAGCGCGCATAGATTGTGCGCCGTTCCTCGGAATCAACGCAGCATATAATATTTGTGTGTGAAATTCTGTGTGTATACGGAGGTAAGATTGTGTTGTATAAATTCCACTTGAAAATCAGATGGCATTCTTGCAAATTTTATAAGAGAGGATCTAATACTTTTATGGCATGTTCCCTTTGCATTTTTTATGTGAAATTCATGCAAAATTAACACCCGTGAATTGTGTTTTTTGTTTGATCCACTCCATTACATTAAATACATGAATTCATATTTAAATTATTCCAGTCTTAAGCTAAAATTGTATCGAAAAATGACTTATGAAATTAATAAAGACTGCACAAGCAAAAATCGCAGCAGATTTCTCTCCGTGTAGTAAGTTGGTCTAATAGTGATCGCAATAATCCGGAACTACAATTTTATTCCTTTCCGAAAAGGTTGTGTCTCAAAGATAAAAGAGAAAAATGGATATAGCTGCTGTTTGCAGAGTTTAATTAATGATTTATTCAAGATTACTGTTATTAAGTTAATACTGTTTACCTACATACAAAATAACTTTTTCCGAAAAAACACTGACATGTACATAAATCTATTCGAATACTATTTATTATAACTCAAATATTATTATAATGTATGAATGTTTCTCTTAAAACAGTTCAAGCAATAAACTTTTTTTATCAATTAGTTCAATCACGTTACAATTACTTTTTAGTAATCCGTCACCTTTTGCAAGGCCTATTTTCTAAATATAGAAATATCCACTTCTTGAAATCCATTTTTGATTATAATTAACATTTTTTTCGTGGATATTAACAATAGTTTAAAGAAATTAACTTTTGTCACGACATATGTATAATTGTCAGATTAAGCTATCCATTATTTTGAAGAAACATCCTCTAGAGGCGCTTCGAGCGACTTTATACTTTAGAACTCTGTACTGTTTTTAGAATATACATTGTAAAAGATAAACTATATTTAGATAAATTAAAAGAAGAGCAACAAAATTGTTATATAAATAATGCATAATTGAAATTTTGTTGATCATAAAATTTACTTAATTAGAAATAAGTATAACAATAAAAAACGTCACTTGGCTTTTATTGGCCGGAATTCAAGCGTAATGTAATGGGTTCTATATATCTATAGACGTTAATGTATATCGTGCGGTTAGAATAACAGAAGATCACAACCCCATAGAATTGGAACTGCTCACCACGCTGTTCGTATTATAGGTATTGTATACTCTTCAATTTTATATATACGATGACTATCAACGCTAGAGTAGAAGAGTCTTTTCACCTATTTTCCAACATATATATATATATATAGAAATACACTTACATCACACGCTATATAAACGATCTTCCTCCTGCAGTTAACTTAAGTTGCATTATATTGAGGAGGGTGACTATACTAAACCCGATTTCAGGGTGGGCGTTTTGTGTATCCAGTATGGAGAAAAACTACCACTCTTTGATTATATATTATATGGATATACACATGTATATGTGTAGAGTATTGTACAAGAAGCACACATATATATTTACGGGACATATGTACCATATATGTGGTGTATTTTACTATAGAAAATATTATACTATTATTGCTATATATATACAAGTATATATGTATATACTTCCAGGATCACTGGTAGATCGAGACTATTTGTTTAATGGGGATTATTGTATTAGAAATTTGGGGTAACTCGACGTATTGAAACCAAATGACACGTGACGACCTCGATTATTTTCGGTTAGTTATTCTGTCAAGTACTTTATTTGAGAATAATTTCCAGATTATATAATATAGTGAAAATTATATATTAGTATATTAATTTTTAACCTAATTAAAGAAAATTAAATTCAACTTGGACAGTGAAAAGGGACTTAAAGATGCGAAAATAAAGTTTTCGAGAAAACGGGTGTTACACGGGGAATTTCAGGGTTGCTGATTACAAATCTGGTATCGGTTTTTAAAAAGAGAAGCCGGGGGTGGAAAAAAAGTGAAAATCGATTTTTCCGCATACCTTTGGTCCCTTTTAACTTTCCAGCTCACAAATATTAATTCTATACTCATAATTATACATGTATAACATTTATTTATTAATTGATTAATGATATTACAATATTCAATATTGTTCATTACAAAAATTTTGATCATAAAATTATACACAAATTATCTTTTGAAGTTCTTCATTTGCATTTTTCTTTCGAAATTTGAAAGGATCTTTTTGTACAGCATTTATTAATTTTTCCATAGCACTATTAAAGTCCATTTGATTATTAATGCAAAATTGATCAACTTTAATATTTTGTGTATTTCGAAGGACTCTTTTTACTTCCCTTTTAAAAAAACTTCCAAATAAACTTGCTTTTATTTTTGCCGATACATTCAGTATATGCATTTTGAATGCAATTGCAGATTGAACAGCATTTGAAATTACATTAGCTGTACGATCAAAGATTTTTTTGACTTTTTCTATTTTTTGACAACAAAGAAGACCCACCCAAGAGATTGGACAAGGTGGCTTTGTTAGATCATTAATAATTACAGGAAATTCAATAATTATAGGTGGATCAGGCGTTGGAGGTCTTGGTATTTCTGGAAAATTGAGAATTGAAGGGGGTCTTGTTAAATAAGGGGGTCGAGTAAGATAAGGAAATTTAGTATGTGCATTAGATATAGTAGGTTCAGTAGGTATAGCAGTTACAGTAGATTTAGTAGGTTCAGTAGGTTCTGTAGGTTTAGAAGATTCAGTAGGTTTAGAAGATTCAGAAGGCTGAGAAGGTTTAGGAGGCTCAGAAGGTTTAGAAGATTCAGAAGACTGAGAAGGTTTAGGAGGCTCAGAAGGTTTAGAAACAGATGGTTTACTGGTTTGAGGCGGAAATACAATGCTGTTACAAAAGCAATCACAATCTATATAACATGTGCACTCACAAGGAGATTGGCAATGAATTGGACAAGGATAGTGAGTATTAATCTGTGTATGATCTTGCACAACAGAACTAGTTACGGTTGTACTTTCAGAACTTGCAATTGATTCAGAATTATTCACTATCCCAGAAAGTGAATCGTTTCTAATTGGAACAACAGTTGAAGATGAAATAGAACCATCATCAGATGATGAATAAGAAGAAGCTACTCCTATGCCAATTGTAGAAGACGAACCAGAACCAATTGTTAAAGAACCGCCATCAATTGAAGAGGCACCAGAAGGTGAAGTCAAAACCGTACCAGTTGAAGTAACTAAATCATCTCTATCTGGAGATGTGATTGCAATACTATTTCCTGGAATATCTTCAATTTCACTATTATCATAATCTCCGTCATGATAATTATCGCTAGCGGGTAAAAAAACAGTGGACGAGAGTAACGGAGAAGAAGATGTAAAATCTGTAGCAGTGGTTGGAGTCACACTTGGAGTAGTACCTTTAGTAACATTTGCAGTTGTACCTAAAGTAACATTTCTAGTAGTAGGCCTAGGACGACAAGTTGGTTTTGATGGTTTAGAAAATATTCGTTTCAATGCAACATTTTCGGTAGCAGATGGATTATTGTTAATATTCGTGCAGGTCCAATTGATAGGAATATCGGTTCTATCATGCCATCCATGACAAATACAATGACATGGAGGAATACATGTACCAACGCAATATCCAAGAGCTTGCAATTCAGGAATATCGTAATTTCCATCTTCGATAACTCCCAATAAATCCGCTCTTCGCTCACGGATATGATTATCGTTCATCCAAATTTTTAATGACAAACCCTGCAATTTTTAACAGACTATAATTCTACTTTTGTTTATATAAATATAATTTTTTAGCTTTAATTAATTATTAAAATCATTGTTGCTTTCTCATAAGCTTTAGAATAATTACTGTATTACTCACTGAATTATTTTGATAAGACATAAAATCTTGATTATATTTTCTAATTGCTTGTATCCATATCCAATCAACTAAAATTGTTACCAATAAAGCGAGTGTGCATGAAAATACTAATAATCAAATTAGTTTTAATATTTGTAAAATAATTTAATTATTATATGAAATTAAATTTTAATTTGAAACTTACCAAAAATCACAGAAACTGGGATTTTAAGAATAAAGTATTTCACTTCCCGCATGGTATATAGCTTTGGCATTAATGACTTTTAATAATTATTGATTCTTGTAGGAAAAGTAGTAAATGTCTGATGTATAAGTCAATAACTATTTGAGATTATTGAGGGGAATAATGTCAAATACAATTTGAAAAACCTTCATCTTATTTGATGTATTGATGTTTATAATTGAGAATTAACAGTATAAATAAATATCGTTTTTCCTTTTGCAAAAAAAAAACAACAGGAAATTCTATTTATTGCTTAACAATAAAAGTATAGGCTCTTGTCGTGGAGGTTAATAAACTTAATGTCAAGTTCGCTTTTACGTTAGGGTCTTTCGTATATATATAGTATATAGGAAATAAAAATTATAGCCCATGACCTCAATTGCAATAAATCACGAATCAACTTAATCGAAATTGCTACTACTATACAGATTATAACTTCAATTCCAATTAGAAATTTTGTTTCATTGTTCTTAATCAATTCCTACAAAATGATGCAATTATGATAAATATTTTAATGCTATAAACCTATAATATTAATTTATTATTGATGTAATTAACATTATAATAAATCAATATAAAGTAATTATATTAATTTGTAATTACTATTATTTTATAATTATTTCTTAATTAATAATGCATTTATTCATGAAAAACATTTTAAGGAAAAATAAAATTATTTAGTATCAGAAATTCTTTCTCTTGTATTGATAAATTAATTATATATACGTTTATAAAATTTATAAAAGTCGAAATGAAATGTGAATGAAATAATAATAAAATTAGAAAAAGATGATGTAAATTTTATCAGAAATTTCAATGGTTATTAATTGATTAGATAATATTTGGATGTATTCGTGGTGCATTAAAAATGATATGTCAACATTTTAAGAATAAAAAGCGTTTTAATTAATATACGTGACAACTGATATGCTAATTAACATGTTTGCAATGCTTCACTGATGTTACATCATCAATTGTCATTTCAAAAAAAAAAAAAAAGATTGTCTATACAAAATTGCAACAGTTTAATTAATTTTATCATTGTTGGTATACATTAAATTGTCTGAATTTTAATTTTTTTCTATATACTCTAAAGAATTTGATATAAGGTCGTAAAATTTATGACAATTACTCAGGGTCTTATAGTGATAGTTCTTTATTTAATTATAGATGATAAAATATTACTAAAAATAAACGAGTAATAAATAAAATAAATAAAAAAATGAAATGAAAAATTACATGAAAATGTTTAAGTAGAGTGGAAGTTGTGTGAATCATGAAACAAATGATATGTAAATTCGCGTATAAGGGACTCATTTATGTGTGCCATAAAAAATACAATAAAACTGAGCATAGAAATTGGCGTCGGTATTTTTCGGTCTCTTGTGTGACTTCCGGTTTTCTCGCATTCTACTTTGTCTTCAGCTTCGTTTCCAGCATCTTATGACACCGGAAAGATGACAACGCATAGATCGTTCTCAGCATGTATAAAGAATATAACCCATACCACCGTTGACACGAAAAACGGAAAAAAAGTAAAAAAAATATTTCCCCTCATTCTCATACATATATTATATATATATATATTTATATATACGAAAAATAAACTGAAATAACAAAATTGTTAACTATATTATTCTAATTTCGTAAAAAATTTCTACTAATTACAAATTTATTGTACCAAAAAAATAATTATTTATTAATTAGACAATAATTATATAAAAAAGGTATTAAAAATAAACATTAGTATTTGTGATATTAAAAAATTGAATAAATATACGATCCATATTTTTTGATAAAAAACGTTTAATTTCTAATAGAAAAAAAATCATATATATTACAATAAAAATTGCAAAATTCTTAACAAATTTGATTTATTTTCTGATCTCTTTCTTTCGTAATCCCCGTTTCGTTATAAATTCACGAGAACAATATTCCAGAAAAGAAGGTGAGAAATCGTTCTACATATTGTCTGGAATTGATCTAGTGTATGTTTTTTAAAAAAATTTTTTTTTTTATTGAACATTCTTCAATGTCGTACACTTTTAAAACGACACTGAAATGATTCATGGGAATAGTGATTGTTGAAATTTACGGGAAAATGTGACAACGAAAAAAACGTCGAAAAATAACGAGGCCATTATTTTCCATTTCCTTCTAAAAGCAGTATACAATCTATTTTCATTTAAATTTATATAGACACAAAATTATATATCTACTGTATAGTGAATTAAATTTTTTTATCTCAAAAATATATATATATATATATATCTTGTTATGTGTGATTTTAGAGTGAATGATATGACAAGGGCGGCAAACATCAAGAGTTAATTCTAATCCCATGGTGTTTATAGAACAAGCAGGGAGTTGGTATTAAAAAAATATTATTGCAAGAGGGTTAGAACGCCAAAAGCCAACAGCTTCCGTATATAGAAAAGTGATACACTGCCAGGTGCAAAAACTGCCAAAAAATATTTGTAAAACCGATAGTCGAAAATATTTTCAATTGAACCAAATATAATATGGATATTTATTTTATATGAAGGATTTTTATTTTATTCTTTTATTATAAAAGATATTAAATCAATATAGTTAACGTATCAATAATTTTTATTAACATTTTTGTTTTCATTCATCACATTTAATAAAAGTTAAATTTAATTGGATTTAAAATTTTTGAAAAATTAAAAAAGTTATATATTTCTTTTAAAAAAATTTAATAACTAATGGAATAAATCTTCTTTTTTTCAAGATCTATTTTTATTTATATAGTGGAATTCGAACTTGTGAGGGAAAAAAAATTTAGTATTTTAATGATACAACTGCATTAAGAAATGAGAAGATTGAAATGGACTGTATCCATTTTAACAAAAAAAAAAAAAAAAAGAACAACTGGCACGCGCTCTAATTTAAAACAGACTTTTTCAAACGACTGGAAGATAAATTTTCCTTACACATTTATAATTATGTGACACGTGTTTTTCAACTTGTATCTTATCGAATGACTCTTATCTTTTCAAAAAGATTTTTTCCCTTATTTTTTAAATGCCACTCTTTGCGCTTAACGTCTGGCCCTTTCAACGCTTGTCAGCTTCTTAAATCTGATGTCAGTTGTATTATATACTTTAAAAGTTTATAAAGTTAATACGATACAGTAATGTTCACATGTTACAATATCATATAATTATTATAAAAAAAATTGTAAACAAAAATAATTAGTAGGTAACCTCTTTTACAGAAAGAATAAATTAATTGTTATATCGATAACACAGTAAAAGTACGATAAGTCGCGCTTAAACTATTTTTACAACTTTAAATTCAGTCTCAAAAATGGGGTGAAATAAAGACTTTTTTTTAGTGTAAAATTAAATAATAAAATTACTTTCGATGAATATAACAAAATTTAAAAATAGCTTTAATCTTTTCCTCTTGTTTGAATAAAGATTTATTTTATGAACACCTATTATAACCCCTTTTCACTGTCTTCACATGTAATTGCTTATACTATACTTGTCTAACTCAGAAAATGCATTTCATCAACAAATTCATAAAACCCATTTTGTGACTTGAATTCTAGGGCAGATTCTCATTACCTTGAGTGGAAGTGAGTAACTTTTAGAGCTAAAGCGAAATTAACGTCCAACCGCGTAAGTGGAAGTTTTAACACGTCGTGATCATCATCAGGAAGCCGACATTTATGACAGATGTTAGATTTTTATAGTCTCTACTATGTATTTCTTAATATTTATTAAAAATTTTGCCAAAATTTTAGAATCATAAATAAACGAAAAAAATATATTGTCTGAATTTTTGTTAATTTAATAATTGTTGTTGATTAATTTTTACGAAGCCTTTTTTTTACTGTCCTCTTCAGGTCCAATGGCTATTTAATGAAAAAATAGTTATTAACAATTGACGAATGACAACATTTTCCTGTAATGAAAATGTTTTTTTTAGAATCAATGAACAAGAAATATTCAATTTGAAAAAGAAACTTACCTCATAAAGAGGAAATGTTGTTTTTTAAATTGTTACATTTTGAAATTTAAAAAAAAGAGAATTGGAAAAGAAAAACAACACGTGATTTCAGTTCCAAAAATCAATTAGGTTAGATTAAAAATCAATTAGGTTAGATATTACTTGATTAGATTAGGTATTAATAAAATTTCACGGTAAATTCAAATTTGAATTTTGCGATAAAAAATAAAAAATTTGAAATTAAGAATGAATAAGAATTACTTAAGTTATTTATATCAGTATTAAAATTAACAGTATTGTTTGATATTTTTTTTAATATAAATCATTTCGATATATATCTTCTTTTAAATTCAGTGATTTCATTATTTAAAATTGTAATATTTTGAAGTATAGAGTTCTTTTAAATAAACTTAGATTTTCAAGATAGTATAGCGCTCATCAGATAATTTAACTGCGCTCTATCTACTAAAGAATAAATTATTGAAATTTTATGTGATAAAGGATGGTGAGATGCAAAATTAATATATCTGCGACCATGTTTTTTTTTGTGATATACCAATTTGTGTGAAGAATATTATTTTCTATATATAATTAACGAAAGATCAAGAAAATTAATGTGTTATTAGATGATAATTCATAAGTAAATTCTAAGTTTAAATCAATATCTGTAGTGTCTATGGTAATAAAGTTATTAATAAATAATAATAATAACTAAATATAAATAAATAAAGCTTTTGTCTATACACACAGACATAAATTTCTTTTATAGACATTTTTAGACTCCTTGTTGTTCAACGACAAACTATGTCAAAAATTTTGGATTCTGAGCAATGTACAGACAAAAGTCTGATTTTATACTGTAAGAAAAATATGCATTTCTGCTAAAGGCATAAAATTATTGATTCGAAAGCATATATGCTTTTGAATAAATAATTTTTATACCTTTAGTATAGAAATGCTATATTGATTCAATAGGATATTTTTCTCAGTGTATTAATACATAGATTCAATTCGTATATATTTATGATCTTTATAAGAAAAAACCGTCAATTACAGTCTCGAGAAACCAACGTTTGAACTCAGAATCATCCAAGTAAACAGCGATTTTATCGCAAACACAATAAATCAATGAAAATTCAGGAGAAGTCATCTCCAAAATTCCAGACAGGATTCTCTCTACTCCAGCAGGTTTATCTTGTTTATACTCATACGAATCCACACCCGTCATTACTATCTAGGTGTGTGTGTATATATACCTGCATATATATAGCAAACTCGACTCATTGGCAATCTACTCGCATCTGTAACTCTTAAATTTTGAGTGTGTTAAAGTGTATTCTAATGCGTTTGCATGTATATATGAAAGGCTGCGTTTATAATACTTGCAAGACTATAAGCTTTAGCGCGTGTGCACGTTTGTCTGCGTCCATACATATATACATATGTGTGTGAGAGTGCGAGGTTTAACAAGGGTCTGACAGGCTCGTTGCCGTTGTTATTTATCGGTTATGTCGGCGCATCTCCCATCTCGACGAAAGAGAAGCTTTATAACTCCTCTCATTCTCTTTCTCACTCTTTCCTCCAAACGAACACACAAATCGTTAAATGAACATATATATGTATATATTCATGCACGCACCGTTTGCTACCAATCATAGAAAAATTTTCCTCTTTCTTGTTATTTTTAATGTATATAATATATATATACATATATGAGGCATTCTATTTCAAACTGTACCACCTGCAAAAGACTATCGCGTGTAGAGCACTTTTCATATATAATTAAATTATATTTTTGCTAAAAACTTTTGACAAAATGATCTTTTTAACATAAAAAAACCACTAAAAAGTCCATTATAATCTTTGGATGGAAGAAACTAAAGAATTTTGGACAATTTACAACAAAATTGCGAAGATGACATGTTTTGAGATATCATAAAGTTTTTAAATACAAATTAAACCAAGAAATAATTATTTTTTTAAAAAAAGCTTATTACAGTCTGAAAGCTTGAGAAATTCTCTATTAAAATCATTATTTATATTTTATATTTCAAGTTTTTTAAATAAAATAAATTATATAAAAAAAGTGCTCTACACACGATAGTCTTTAGCATACACTGTAAAAAATAATGGAAAATTTCCCATACAAATGTAAGGATTTTTTTCAATACTTTGTATGGAAATATTCTTTACCATACACAAGTATGGAAAAATTTCAAAACGTTATGGAATATTTTCCATTTTATGGTAAAATTCCAAATCCCTGTATGGAAAAATTCCTATACGTATAAAATTTATGTATGGAAAAATGCTTTTCCATACACATGTATAGAAATATTACATAACATTATGGAATATTTTCAATCATGTATGGACAATTTACAAACATTATTGTATAATGAACATTTTGTTATATAATATATTTTATTAAATTCTTTTTATTAATTCATAATAATAACAACAATATTTTAGTTTATGTGTCTTATTTTTTAACAAAAGTGTTGTAAAAAAGTAAGGTAAGTTTATTTCATTTATAATAGTTTAAAAATGTTAATTAATTAGTTGTAAACATTGTTGTTGTATAAATAAAAAATATTTTTATTTACTGTGTAAATTATGAAATATAAGTTTTTAAAAGTTAAATGAATATTATAAAATTGTGAAAACAACTTACGTTATTTAACAAAAAGTTAAATACAATAATAGTTTTATAAAAGATTTGTTATATACTCTTAAATATTTTTATTCTAAAGTAACGATAGAAATTTTTTTATCTTTTGTAATACATATTTTCTTATTTTGAAATGTTTGTCACATCTGGTATGGTTTAGGATGGCCGGCTAAGGGTTTCTTATTTCAAGAGAGATAATTTTATGAGTTTTCCGTGACCATTTTTTTTCATAGTTTTTTGTAGACAGAAAGTTTGTGAAATTTTTTAAATGAAAATATATAGGAAATTTTAGAATGTTTTAAATGTTCCCCATGAAATTCTCGAAAAAAGCCCTTTCAAGCGTCAGTTGCTCTCAAGCAATAGTCTGGGAAACATACTACGAGAAAATAAAACCGTTTGTGTTAAAAGTTTTTTTATAATATATAATATGAGGAATATTCAAGGATTACATTTACATTACCTATTTGTGGTATGTTTCAAAATATATTTTTAATTGTATTAATAATTTTGGACAAGAGAAAAACGTAAAGCGTATAAAGAATTTAAAAATATCTGAAGTAAATATTTTTTTTAGAAATAATACCTAGAGAAACATTAACTACATTAGTTAATAAATATTTTTATAACAAATTTCATACTTAAATCAATTAAAAATAAATAATTAAATTATCAATTTTATATTCAGTGTGATAAAACTTCAGAAAATTTAAGTAATTATTATTTTCATTGCAGGAAAATCTTTGTTTAACGAAGAAGAATAAAGACGTTAAGGTAAATATCTTATTTTATATGTTATATTAATATGTATATTTATTTATAATACATAACAAGAAATTATGTCAACCTTAATTATTTTTTCTTGATTTTTCTAGAGTCTTCCAAAAAAATAAACACGAATAATGGACACAATAGAGGAAAAAACGCAAAACGAAGAAGTTGAATTAGTGACTGGAAAGTTAGCAACAAGTATCTAATTTATATCACAATTTCATAGTATAAGATTCATTTGTTAAATGGTAATTGTATCTTAATGAAATAAAAAATAACTTTCAATATTTAAAAAACAAATATACTCTACAGTTTATTGTACCAAAAATTCCAAATACCGAAAAATATATTCTATAAAATTTGTATGGAAAAATTAAAGTGCAGTATATATTAATATTACTGTACACCACATTTAGTTATTTCCATACAATTTTATGGAAAAATTACCATTTAGTTTACTAATACTGCCATACAAAGTATGGTTTTTTTCCATACAAATTTAGGGAAAAATTACCATTGTGTATATTAAGTTTCCTATACACTGTATGGGTTTTTTCCTATACAAATGTATAGCAAAATTACTATTGTGTATATTAATTTTCCCATACTCTTTATGGGTTTTTTCCATACGATTGTAGGGTAAAATTACCATCGTGTATATTAATTTTCCCATACGCTTTATGGGTTTTTTTCCATACGATTGTAGGGTAAAATTACCATTGTGTATATTAATTTTGCCATACAATGTATGGGTTTTTTCCCATACAATTGTATGGAAAAAATCCATTACTGTATGGGTTAATTACGTCCAATACATGTATGGGAAATTTACCATAAAAATTTTTTACAGTGTATGTGGTACGGTTTGAAATAGAATGCCTTATTTTATATGTTATACGGTCATTGTCGATTATTGGGAATTGTCGACAATGCCCACTGTCACTGGGCATGGTCGATATTGCCCGGGCATTGTCGACAATGTCCGGTCAATGTCTAAAAATATTCATATCATTTAACTTTTTCGGGCATTGTCGACATTGTTCGTGACAATAAAGGCCATGTACTGACTAGATCAACAGCATTTCTTAAAGTTCTGGTTAGGCTAATGATATAGATACACAACAACTTGTGATTAGTAGTTTAAAGTAAATTGCAAACTTAAGCTTATGGGTGATTCTCTCAAAAAGGACAAATTACGCTTTTAAGATATTTTGTTATAAAATATGAAAATTAATTGAAATTATTTAAAATTCTGTCAGCCATGCGTTAGGATTTAACAATTTTCAATCGGACCACTAAAGAAAATTTTAAAAAAAGGTAAAATAACTGAAATATTGAATAAAAACTGATGTTACGGAATGGAGTTTTAACACTAGTTTTCATTCAATAATTCAGTTGTTTGCCATTTTTTTGAAATTTTCTTTACTGATCCCATAAAAATTTGTTGAATTTTATCGTATGGCTGGGAGAATGTTTATTAGTTGAAATTAATGTTATTATTTTTTAACAAAAACCTCGTCCAAAATTGTGCACAAATAATTTGTTCTTTTTGAGAGAATCACCCTTATATGTTTTTATCATAAAGTAATGGAATTACTATTGATGGATTTTTTTTTTATATCGACATTGCCCGGGCACTGTCACTTTTCACTGAAGTTTGTTAAAAATATTGTCAAAATTACTGGACAATGTCGACAATGCCATTATAATCGACAATGACCGTAACATATATATATTATTAAAAATAGCAAATCTCACCAGAGGAAGAAGGTCGCTTTGCACTTTAAAATAATTAAATACTTATACATTAATAAACGCTAAAAATGAAGATAATATATATGAGGGGCTGATTACAAAAGTGAGTTATAATTAAAGTGGGAGCAAAAATGGGTTAAAAGCCTTGCGAGTAAAAACGGGTTAAAATATTTCGATTAATTTATCTATTTAGAATGATATGTTGATGACTTTTCTTATACAATTATTATTTTTTGTTGCTTAAATATACCAACAAAATTATTTTCTTAGCCCAACCAAATTTTGGTAAAATTAAAAAAAAATATATAAACTAAAAAAGTATTAAAAGGTATTAAAACTAAAAAGTATATGTTTGCCTTAAAGTAGATTATTTTTGGTTTAAATCGATATTTCAGGACTAATGTAAGTTGTTTCAACCAAAATTAGTCTTAAAATAAAATTTTTTTTAAAGTGATTGTCATCAGTTTCGAAAATTCAGATTTTAAACTATTCCTTATAGAATTCAAATATTCATAGGATATATCCTATAGAATGTCTTATGGACATCCGGCGCCTTATAAGGATTATATAGTTAAAAATTTGAATTTTCCAAAATTGACAATCACTGTTAAAAAGGAAGCTTATTTTGAGTCTATACAATTTTTTTGGTTGAAAATTATTAGTCCACATATGGACTTAATTGATGATTAAAAATCTTATTTAAAAACCAAAAATTGTCTTACACATGGAAAGAAAAAATATTGTTTTAAAAACTTTATAAAGAGAAAATTGTTTTTTGTTTCAACAAAATCAAAATTGTTTTGTCCTATATAGCAATTACAGAAATCCTATGTTTTATTTTTACATTTAAATTATATTAATTTAATAATAATGTTTCGAGGCTTTTCACAGTTAGGATGTTCGTATATATTGATACAGTTAACTATACATGTTTCGGCTATTTAGCCTTCATCAGGCTTTAAATTATTAAATTTAACTATAAGGTACCTTAAAGAGTAGTGTACCTTAATATTTTTAAGAGTAAAGTTCCTACTCTCTAAATTTGAATCAGCGAAACGTCGCTAATTTGCAGCTATAAGTATGCAGCTGATTCAAACAGCGTATATACACTGATGAAATAGTGTATATGCGCTAATTATCAATGTATATACGCTGTTTGAATCAGCTGCATACTTATAGCTGCCCAATCAGCGATTTTCCGCTGATTCAAATTTAGAGAGTAACAAAATTAATATTGTGGACCTAACAATAAAAAATTTATTGTATTAAAAAAAATAAATAAAAATTTTTTTTATACAAGTGTATTTTGGTAAAATTTTGCTTCCACAATCACATTTTTATGTTAACACCTTTGCTTTTGAAATATAACAAAATTACGCTTCATGTCATTTGGGAGGTAGAAAATATATGCGAGAGAGAAAGAGAGAGAGAGAGATAGTCGCGTATGGCGCTGGAATCACAGAAGGCGGAGAATGTTTATGGTGGTGGTACAAGTGGTACTGGTGGTGGTAGTTATGGTGGTTATGGTGGGGTGTTCGCTTAGCGCTAGCACGTGTTAAAAACATAACCACTTACTCGAATGGGGCTGGAGTTTATTTATCGCGAGCTCCTCCTATATCCCCGCGAGCACACGGGTAATATTCTCTCTTTATATGCTCCCCTTTCTCTTTCTCGTTCCATCATGATTTTTCTCCATGTTTTTCTCGCACTTTAGAAATTATTTACTGATTCACTGATTTTTTTTTAAACGAAACATAAATGTTTTTAATGTTTTAATAAAAAAATTTTAGTTCTTGCTATATATTTATATAATGAGACTTTATTTTGTGACCCAATTGACCAAAAGTATCTTTGGCCTAATAGCTTTTTAATAATTTTTAATTTTAATAATTCAATAATTTTTAATAATCCTAAAATATATATGTAAAGTGACTTTATTTTTTGAACCAACCAGGTAATATAGTTGAGATGAATTTAAATGGTTTATTAATTAATTCGTTTTTTTAAAAATATTTTTGTATTTCCTCTCTTCAGGAATAATTATATCAGAATGGTGTAGAAACTGACAAGACACTTTGAGAATATAAATGACTCTCTTTTCTTATTTTCGTAAAGATATTATATAACTTTCTGAAAATTCCTCCTCGAACATAAGACATTTATTTTCTTCACATAGTTAAAAAAAAATGGTTTCCTCCTTATATTATATGTAATAGAATAATAATTAATTCTTTCTTTTTTTAATGATATACTGCACATTTTCTTATAGAATTTGACAATAAATTAATAACAATCATGTATGAAGTTAACATTAAATGCTATATTATATTTAAATTTTTGCCTATACTCTATAAATTAGAATTAGTAGAAATTTACACTAATTCAAAATAGAAATATTTAAAAATATGAAAACCATGTATTTATTGTTAAAAATCTACTTCGTTTTTGGTATAAAAAAAAAGAGTAAAAAGTTTATTGATCGACTTATGCATTCATCATAAAAGAAATCTGATCATCAATTTTGAAAAAGTAATATTGTTCACGGGACAATTCGCGATGCAAAACATGAAATATATATGCAACAACCTTATATTGTAAAACTATATATATAATGACGAATAATTTTTCATAACAAAATATATGTGTCCAATTCTCTCTGTGTATATGTCAAAAATTTTTGAAAATAAAATGTCACATTCTCGTACATCAAATGTATGATAAAGTTCAATTTTCTCGGCAAAAATCCTATCAGAGTACGCAATTTCCGAAGCAATATTTTGAAAATTCTAATTCCAGAGCATTGTTTCCAGAATCGTGTGCACGAAGCTCCGCAGGGATATATAGGATAATCTCCGGTGAAAAACATCAAGGGGTTACCATATACTCATATACGGTTGGATTTTGTTCGCAATCGACTTGAAAATGGCGTCTCATAACAACAAGTTGATGAAACGATTAAAAGCATAACGAGGACTCGGACGGTTCACTGATGGCTGTTGTTATAACATATATGCGCGCGTGATGCAACATTTACAATATATATGTGTGTGAAGTTTTCCTCTTTCCGCCAATTTATCTCTCTCTCTCGTTTTACTGTTTAGATTTTCTTCTCTCTCTCCCTCTCACCTCAATAGTAGCTCTCGTAAATTTTCCCAATTCACATGTATGAGCGTGCACATACCCTTGGGAGTCCTTAGTCACAGAAACAAGTCCCACAGGATTCTCCCTGGTGGGTAAATCTGTCGTAGAAGCGTTAACTGTAATTTGGAGGGCTGCTCCGGTAAAAGATCACCCAGACACGCGAGACTATATTTTTCAGTCGATTTTTCGTTTTTTTATAAATCAGTATATAGATATTCCTTGTTACTTTCAAAATATCTATGTATATATGGAAACTTCGAATGGAAAGAAATTCACATACTGCATATTGATTTTATA